GAGAGCAGAATGAAACAGCATCCAAGCGGCACAGACGTAGAAGCAAAAGTGCACAATTATCCAATATGGAAACTCACCAAGGGAAAGTGTTAGTTTTTAGAATTTTCAGTTTCCGAATTAGGTTCATTATCAGCTTTACGTAAGTTATGTGACATAGATTAATCTCGAAATGGCACAGTCCAGAAAAGTTATTACTGCTTTTAGAATACAGAGAGGAAGTACCCAAATTAAAAATGAGGAATTAAGAGGCTATTATTCAGTTAAATTATAAAACTGATTTAAATACTTTTTACCTTTCATATATATACATAAAGAAATTTAATAAGAGGCAAAAATTAAAAAAAAAAAAAAAAAAAAAAAAAAAAAAAAAAAAAGTCCTGGATATGGGATGAGTAAAGGGCTTGCTCTAAGTTAAAAGATTTGTCAAAAGGCTTATCAACATATAGGCGCAAACGCAATGGTCTCTACCGCATATGACCTAAATGGGCCCTGAATGGGAATCATGGGGCTAGCAGAGAACCACGATATGGCTGCCCAAACCATAACAGAACCCCCGCCATGTTTCACTCTTGGCAACAAGCAGTCTGTATTATAGGCTTGAGATGGCGTTCTCCAGACGTAAACTCGGCCAGAAGTGGGAAACAATGTGAAAGAAGACTCGTCAGACCATATTACTCGCTTCCACTGCTCTATAGTCCAGGCTTTATGACTTAAACACCACCTTTTCCTGTTACGGGCATTAGCATCACTGATGAGTGGCTTCTCAATTGCAGCACGGCCAGCAATTCCCTGTTTATGAAGCTCCCTTCTAATTGTTTTGGTACTCACAGGGTTCGGTAACACAACATTCATTTCAGCAGTAACTTTTGCAGCTGTGGTCTTCTTATTTTTCGTCACAATTGCCCTTAATGATCGTCTGTCACGATCACTCAGGACACACTTTCGTCCGCGCTGTGATTTAGCAGATGATGTTTTTCCGCTTTTCAAATATGCGGAATAAATCTTCGATACAGTACCTCTTGAAACACTAAACACCTCGGCTACCTTGCTTACGCAAGCACCTACCATACGTGCTCCAACAATTTGCCCACGTTCGAAGTCTGTTTACTCTGATATAATGCAATGACAACTTCACATAACAGTACTCCGACAACAACTGAACTGTTTAGCACATTTAAGAAGTTGTATAGGGGGCGTCAGTAGTCAAAAACACCAGCGCCACCAACATGTATATATATATATATTGAATATGCATGTGTGTATATATATATATACATGCATATTCAACCTAAATTTAACTTTCTAGATGTAAGAGTGTTTTAAATGCGTAACTAAACTATTTATAAAAGTGAATGTATCATTTCATGAATTTAATACTGTTGAGGGAAAAACATTCCGACTTTCTTTCATTGGTAAATCGGAAGTATGCATTCGTGAGAAGAGGGAAATAAATATCCAGGAATCCAAAAGCTTTATACCTCATCTTCGATGTCTGATTCCAAGTGACACTTTTGATCAAACTTTGGATTTAAACCATCGTATGTCTGGGATAGTAAGAAATAAATTAATAGAGTCTGTGTGTACCTGCTAGACTTCTCTAATCTCACTATTCTTCATAAACACCTTTACGGCCTCGCTGTCTTTACCATTAGTGATGAAAATTGATGATTCAAATATATCTTGTCTTATTCTTTTTTTTTTTTTTTTTTTTTTTTTTGGTTGAAGGTCTGCGTCTAGGCGGAATTAAACATAAGCTGCTGTCTTTCCCTGAAAAAATGGAGAGAGAGAAAGGACACTTTCAAGAAAAATGGATAAAACAAAGCAGAGGTGATCGGGTAATTTTATTAAATAATGCATTTGAAAATGTAATATAGTTCTGCAGTCCAACATTGACATAATAATTAATTAAACACAGAACGTGTTATTTTAATTTATTATAAATATTAAAATGACGAATTTTAATGATAATAATATGTAAAATTGCTTTCATGAGAGCAAACATACAATAAATGATCTCGCTACTGCAGAATTTTGTACCTCATAAAAGACCTACATTATATGACAGAACAATTAATTTTTCTACATCTAAAGTCAGAGTTTATTCGTAAAGATTTTATAGCATTTTAAAATTCTTTTCAGCGTTTACTATACTGTCAATATATTTCATGTTTATTTTAAGTAACTGCATTGTGATTCATTCATGCAATTAAATCCTTTTTTTGAAACGCAGTTCATTACATTAAGCATTTTTTTTTAATAATAAAATAAACTGAAGTTGAAAGCGGATTGCAAACGGCCGCGTGCTAAAGCGTCAAGCCCTCTTGCAACTTTTCTGCAATCTCAGATATTCTTTTCTATATATTTACTGCATTATATATGGAGCTGAAGGAGGGACTGAACTTGCTAAGCACATACTAAGCGAATGCATACTACGCGAATAAATAGGAGGGGGCTTGTATTTCTTTGAAACCACTGTCAATATTTTGCTGTACTGCAACTTTCAAAGTCTAGCCCTAGTAATAAAAGAGATCGATTTTTTTCACGTTTTCTGCATGTTTTCAAAACAAGGAAAATTCATATTTTAATGGTTTTTTATGCATGATTTATTTTTACATTACTGTTTATTTTTTTAAAGTTTAATCCGAAGTTAGTTTTATTTGTACAAACTGCGCTGTACTGTGTTAAAAGAAAAGAAAAAATTACTCAATCAAAAATAAAAACAAATTTTTATTGTTTGACATGTCATCCAGTTCTTAATAAATGCAGTACCTTAAAAACAAATCGATTGAAAGAAGAGTACAAGCAAATATTTCCCCGAGGTTCAGAGGTGGGTTAATCCAGTTGGAGGCCTCTGGCGATAAGATTTATGGGGCTTCTAAGAAAATGTTTATGTAATTATATGCTTGAAATGTTATTAATGCTGAAATTTAATAACAATTAAATTCACATATTTAAAATTATGAATATTTTAATAAAATTGATTTAATACTTTTATATCTAAATATCTATATCGAAATATATTTCTAAATCGTATTCCTATATCGAAACTTAAATGCATAAAAATTAAATGTATATAAAAAATTAAATATTCTGCTGGAAAAAAGTGAAGCTTAAATCTGCTAAAAAGGTTTTAATTATTAAATTAGATTACTGTTAAGTAGAAGATTTGAAAGCTTTTTCCTTTTGACTTCTTTCTAGAAAATTCATTAGTTATTTCTCAAATCTCGATTATTATTTAATGTCTCATATATATAACAGAGCCACATAACTTAGTCTTCCTTTTGATTTCTGATATCGTACATCTTAGATAATTTTTTAGGACTCAGCAAGATCTTTATCCAAACGCACTCTATATTGGAATAGCCAAAGGAATTTTTTAAAATAATTTCTACATGAGGAAAGTTGTTGGCATTTCTCTTGAAACATGTTATAGTTGTCTAAATTGATAGATAATAGAAATAGATTTGTCTTCATCTTTTATTAAAAATAACAAAAACTGTTCCAATTCGTCGTCAAAATGTATATATTTATATCATTTTCATTAATCTCTTTCGACTTTTCTACGTTGACACTTCTTCCCTAAATTCAACAGATTTATATTTTCCTGTATTATTTTTACATATTTCATTTCTACGAGAATGTTCTACTATTATATTGTCATAAATAGTATTAAAAAAATTCCCGATAATTTTCGCGCGTTAAATCCTTTATTACATTCATAGAAATTATTGCCCTTTTGTAGCAATTGCTTCTTTTTCTACATTAAAAACATTCGTGATGGAACCACGCAATAAAAGTTTTCAAAGATTTTAATAAATCAATTCTTTTAAGTAGGATTCATTTAGCTAACTGTTAGGATACTCTAAGAGCATTCATATTGTGTAAAATGGTGTTCCACCCTATTGTCATGAATATCTTTTCGTACCTGCACATTTTTTAAAAAATAAATATATAGCTTCTATTACAAGTACTTTTTTTGCTGGATCTAAAAGACAAATATCGGATAAGATTTCTTTTAAACGGTTACGCTGGCTCTGGATCCATCACACACCGACCCAAGGGTTTTCTTCAAGACTGAAGTTTGATTTATCGATGAATAACTAAGCGATAAAAATCGGCCCTATATCGCAATCATCCGACCTTGCCTCGCATTTCATGCACATTTGTCACAGCCTTGATTCCGCTGATGAGTACTTTGCAGCAACCATTGTTGGCAGCACCTTTGCACAGCTATAAAGGTACGGTGCAGGTGGCGATCTATTGCTCGACATGGCCAAAGAAAGTCAATACATATTCTTTGACATGGCCAGCCCGCTTCATCAAGTCCTGCTATGCGGTCACGTTCAAATTCGTCCATTTGTTCCAAAAATAAATTCTGTCTATAAAGGCTTCGAACACGTCGTAACGACGTTATTGGTTGTATCTCCAGGGAACTGCAACGATGACAAAGAAGAAAGATAAACTTTTAGCAATTGTTTTACCTGTTTTATACATGGAGTCCATGGTTTTATACGACGGAAGCTGTAGAAAAGTGCGCTATGATCGAAATGATCGAAGTTAGATCTCATTGGGCGTGAAAATTGAATCATTTGCAAACTTGGTGGTTTTTATTTTTTTCAAAAGAGTGTGTTACAGAATTGCAGAGGTGGTCGCGGTGAAAAGTTTTTAAACGTTTTGATTGTCGACATCACCAAAATCCTTTCAGTGATAGTTATACATTAGCTGTTAAGCGACAAACAAATTTTCCTCGTTTTTTTCACTAAGTTTGGAGGTATTATACACAAAAGCCGTGCACTTTTTCGGCAGTGCATATACTAAAATTGGAGATACAGAGAAGATTAGCATGCACCTTGGCGCAATGGAGAAAGCATAAAGAGTTGAACTTTTGATTGTCGACATCCAAAATCCTTTCAGTGCTAGTTTACATTAGCTTTAAGCGGACAAACAAAATTTTCCTCGTTTTTTTCACTAAGTTTGGAGGTATTATACACAAAAGCCGTGCACTTTTTCGGCAGTGCATATACTAAAATTGGAGATACAGAGAAGATTAGCATGGCACCTGCGCAAGGATGACACAGAAGTCGTCACTGATTGCTATAAATCATGGTTGAACTTTAAAATCATGCATTTTAAACAGAGTTTTCTTTCTTCAGTGTCTCGATCCACTGCTTCAGTATACGTCGGCAGTCTTTTAATTTGGTGAAAATAGTTGTTACTGTTTCGCGTATAATAAACTGATTAGTATAAGCATTTATAATAATGTTTGAATATCTTTCTGAAATAAGAGCATCTCAGTCTAATTACATATTAAAAAAATATTATGATGATTAATTACAGTTAAAAACAGCCACTCTTTGCAAGTAAATAAATATTTCCCAATTCTCGAATTTAAGTCATCCTTGAATTTAATTTCGATTAATAACTCTTGAAACGTTTTCTGGGGATAATATCTTCTTTTTGGAGAGAATAAAAGCTAGAATAAAAGAATAAAAGCTAATGCCTAGTTATGCTAGTTTGTAATATCCAATTGTTAAGCTTTTTGGTGTGACAGTTGAAGTACGTGCAGGAACCAGACAGGAGAAATGTTAAAATAACCCTTTATAAAATTCACAATGCGTCGACTGGACGTTAATAAACTACGCCTTGCTCGAGCTGTAACTCAACTACCACGAACTAAACTTAAAATTCAAAGATATTAACGAAACAGTAGAATTTTACCTCAGGGCTCAGATAATCCTGTTACGTAAAATCGCGTCGAAGTCTAGTGGGAGCAAACTAATAGCTCTTACGGCACTTCAACCAGCAATAGATGCAAAACCAGAAGTTCACGCTACAAGAAGTTCACGCTGCTTGCACACATTCTCTTAGAACTCAGTATTTAAACCTTTCTCCTCATGGTAGAAATTGCATTCTTTCACGCAATCTACCAAATTTAAATGTTCTTAAGGTAATGAAGGCTTATAGGAAACAAAGCATAAACTTAAACTTAACTGGTTATTCGAAATAAATATAAATCCCTACAAGTTTATTAACGTTTACAGAAGAATTTCAGCAGCTCTCAATCTATGATACGCATAGCCCCGCAGATAAGTAAGTGATCGCATAATCGAAAGTACGCAAAAGAATTATCGGTACTGGTGGAACATGTTATAATAAATGCTGATAAAAATAAAAATATTAAGAAAATTTAAATTTGACATTCATTAGAAAAGTCGATTTGGCTGATTCTGGGGTAAATGTAGTATCTGAAATGAATTTAAAAGCAGTGTATTCAATGCAATTTATTAATTTTATGGTATTAAAATAAGAGCATTGCAAGATAAGGGGGTATTTCACGAATTGCGCAATTGCTAGCCACTGATAAGTCATATGGCCTTTTTGTAACCATTTTGTTACTGTGTATGAGTTTTACGCATATTTCATTTCAATAAAAGAGGTTACTTTCTTAAAGTTGCTTCTTCCTTTTGGGTGAAGAAGACAACAAATTGCATTTGAAACTTAGAAAATGAATTGATTAAGCACATCAGTAGTTGTCATATTCTCAAAGGCGATCCCCTCTATAGGAGTGCAAAATTACTTGAATCTACAGGTGGTTGTTTTCAGGGAATTTCGGTACGTAATTTCCAGGAACAGGAAAAGGGAAGTAACTGCAAGAATATGACAAAATTTAAAATGTCTCTGTTTCTCCGATTTGTAACTTTTAAATAAAATGGATGGATTAATTGAGCTAACTGTAATAAAATTTTTGGATTTATTATCGTTCTTTATTTAGATAAAGCTTGTCATTGTAGAAGAATATGAATTCACCAGCCCTCTCCGGAGGTAGGGTCATCTGGCGTCGAGCAACTGTTTTACTCACCTCTTCTTAGATTAGTAGTGCCCGAGAAAACGAAGAGCAGAACGGATTCAATATGAACAAGCATTTTAATTAGGAACAAAATGAAGGGGCAAAGAATGAAAAGAATATGCGCATATGTGTTTTCAATTCACACACACACACACACACACACACATATATATATATAAGGAAAGTTACAAAAGCTGGAACAAATTTTTAACCACCATTTTCCGCTACGACCTATTACTCACAGTCTTGAAAGCGTATTTTTCACTGCGTGGATGGCTATTAATAACTTCCCCTTATCAGTCTTTCTGAAAGTGTTTGGGGCAAAAAAGGAAGCTTGACCGTAGAAAGTGGACATAGCCTTTCGTGCAATTTTAGGATCGCAAAATACACCCACCGATTTTTCACAGACCTTTTATTTTCGCTCAATTTACTTTGGTATAAACAGTTAGTAAGAAGATTCATTTAACGGAAAGGCTGTCTAAAGTAAATCAATACCAGTGCTATCGTTTATTGTTTATTTTAGGGTGGTACAGGAAATAGAAAAATATGATACCACTTGCAGCTGAATAGGCTTAATATGAAGCTTTCAGAACTATATCGATAAGTTCTTTTTTTTTTTTTTCTTAAATATATCGTAATAGCACAGTTTCTTTCTTTGATTTACTGGTAGCTTGGACATCTGGAATAACTCTTTGTAATAAGCAGTCCAAAGTAAAAAATTTCGTGAAAACCACTTTGCTGGTTTCGCTGTTGTACCTTATTATCTGAAGTATTTTACAAGCCATTTCTTCAAAAAGAGTTGCTAATGACGCAAGTTCATTTTTTATGATAAAAAGAAAGAAATGTAAAATGTTTAGAAAGAACTTTTTTATATGAGTTTCTTCACTAATTTTGAACGCCTATTCTCATCAACACGTACCAGATAATGAGAGCTCTTAGAAATGTAAAAATATTCAAGAAATAAATTTTAGATATCTGATACTTAAAAAGAGTTTTAAAATATTTTTTGTTGGAAAAACTAAAATGGCTAATTCAAACTTTTCAGTTAAATGTACAAAAATTATAAATAAATTAAAAGGCTAAATAAAAGTAATGTATACTTGTAATCAATAATTTTGTTAATACTATAGAAACACGGAATTTGCCCTTATTTGAAAAAGCGAGTGGAAGAATGGCCGAAAAATTCCGAAAATTTTATTCATTTGTATTGATAAATATGTTAATATTTTCATAAAATCTCAATGAGCAAAAATCAGGTTTTGAGTAAACAGCATCAGAAAATTTTAAAAATGAAATTTTATATCAATGAACATTTTTAGATAAAATCAAATTACTTTAAATAAGTTTGTTTTAGCTCTTTCAAGAAACAGATCTTTTGTATAATAATTCAAAAAGTAATCGTGTTTAAACAATAATTTCCGAAAATTTTAAATAAAAAACTGTGAAATCAGATGAAACTGCAAATCTAAAATTAAACTTTTGGTCAATAAGTAAATATATGATTAAAACACTGATGTCATATATATGTAATTTGGGAAACGCTAAGTATATTATGAGCATTTAGTTGTTGTTGGAAGATTAAAATGCTACGTTTATAAAGAAAGCGAGAACGTGACCTGTTAGTGATATTCGTCCATAGATTTGTTTCTTGCAAGAAAATTCTAAACTCTGACTGATATCTGTTAAAATCAGTTTCTGCAATCGTTTAGGCTATGAGTTGTGATGAAGAGTCATAGGGAAGCTTGAGGCTGGTCATTCTCGAGCGAGTCTTGAGAGTTGCGATTATCTCGAACTGTCGTATCTAGATTATTGCATCATTTCAAAATTGATGGTAAAAACACCAGGAAACTCTGCCAAGGCTGTTCAGAAGCCATGGCACCGGGCATATAACGAAGGATCGGCACGTTTTATTAAATGCACGATTCCATACAGCTTTCAACGTAACAATTTTCAAGCATACCGTACACAAGCATTTAACAAAGCATGATTTTATGTATGTAATGTGATTTTCCTTTCACCATATCACAGAAAAAAGCCCGTCTGTGAATTTTATTGATATAAGAGACTGTAACATAAAAATTGAACCTATGGAAACTCTGGGTATTAATTTACTAATTTAAATGAAAAAAGGAATAGCAATAAAATTATTTTAAATAGAATGGTAAGAAGTCAGTTATTTTTAGCCATAAGTATTAAACATTTTATAAATAATAAAAGCAAATACATGTTCCTTAATAGCAACGACTCTTCATAACTGATTTTCTGAAGAAGAGAAAAACACCACGGTATAAATATTATAGGAATTAAAAGAAAAATAATGGAAAGAAATTATTGAGATCATGGAAGGCAGAATGAATGAATCATCTGATAACTGAAAAAATGCAGAAACAGGTCATTTGTGGACAGTTCCGCATTTCATGCGGTTTGATCTATTTTTGGGGCCGTATATATTGGGCCAAAAATACCGTAGTTTATGCTATTTTTCGTAAATATTTTAACCACAGATGTTAAGGGGAATAGTTACGATGTATTGACATGCAATAATGCAGGAAATAAATTCTGAAGCATCTAGGCTCAGTTTGATCGATCGAAACAGAATCTTTCAATCAATTTTTCAGCTCACCATTGAGTAATTTAAATATTTAGTTTTATTTAACGAAATATGTATGAAATGAAATGGGCCCTATATTGATTTCCTTAGAAGCAAATGTTTGAATAGTTGAATTCTAGATTTATGTAAGTTTTCAAAATAAGTTTAGCAAAATACGAAAGGTAGTTACGATTATAATACAATTTCAAATGAAAGACTAAATTCCTTTGACAACCATTCACGGATTTAACATGTATTAAATCGTAAAACTGTCGTTAAAATTGGTATTCTGGTTGAACTAGATAATTAATGGATATTCGCCCTTCTTAACTGGACATAATATAAAATGAGGTACGGAGTAATGCTTGTTGTAGAAGAGATATTTAAACTAATTTATCTGATTTTGTCTCACGGATTCTCATTGTAATGGATAAGCAATGTATATCCTTCAGTAAATTGTTTCGATAGTGAATGATTTTTCCGAATGTTGTAATAACTGACATTTAATTATAAGCCGAGGTCGCAATGCTATTCAAATAAATCTGGCAAAGGAGATATGATCAAGATATGGTGTTCGAAAGTAAAATTGAAAAAGTAAATATAATTTATATACTGCAATTGGTAACAGCTAATAAATATTTTTGTTTTTTAGATGAAACAAATAAATG